ATTAATTTATTTATTAGGTCACTAATATCTTATTACTATCATGCCTATAACATACACATCATATTAAACTAAAGTTCACTATAAATGGTTGTCCCTTGTTCCCATATGTAATGGGGTAAGGGGGAGATAAGATAGTAGGCTGCCTCCAACACTAGGTTGAGAGCAGCTTCCGTATGAGACCTCCAAATTATGAAATGCCCTCCATGGGACTTGATCCCACGACCTCAAGGTTAAGAACCTTGTGCTCTACCAACTGAGCTGGATGGTCATTTACTAAGTAATTCGTTTGGAAATTTGAATTTGTTAATGTATGAATCAAGCGACATTGATAGTAAAGAAGTTGTTGTTATTCTTTAAGTTCTCGGGTTCGAGCACCAGAAATGTGAGAGGTGTGAGAACTCAATATTAAATGATTAAGAGTTATTTTTGAACAAATACTACTTTGTACTTACTCTAGATTAATAAGAAAATTACTAATAAGGAACAACATATATGCCTTGAAAATTTTTAAAATTAACTATAATTATTAATTAACCATTTTCATTAAATTAAACTATTTAACGGCTTTCTTATTTTATTGAATTTATTATAGATACGAAATTCCTCTAATTAATATTGTATTAAATTAAATATATTAATTAATTTGTTTTTATTATACTTTAATTATTTGTCTAAGTAAATAATTACATAATAATAGTAAATAAATTTATTTATGTATTTTAGTTTATGAACAATGTTATTAAATAATTTTTAATAGAAGTCGCTAGTCTTATTAAAAAGTGAAAATATTCAAAATTTTAATAAGGATTTACAACTATATAAACTAAATACATAATTTGGACATTTTCTTATAAAACTAAAACTAGCTAATTTAGATCATATAATGATCATATATGGAAAAGGTTAAAAACCTAATCAAAATACTCAAACAAAAAAAAAATAGATACAAACAAATCTGACTGCATCTGCAAATGAACCATAAAAGGAGATTAAGCTATTGAAAGATCGTCGATAACCGTAAATTAGAGCCAAGCGTCTTGAGAAACTATCCATGAACGCAAAATCTTATCCAAATTCAATTCGAAGGTCGATAACAAGAAAGATCAACATGAATACAAATAAGCGCCATCTAGATCAGTCGTGGTGTCATCATATTCAACCCTGAGAAAACATAAAATAAAATAAAATAAACGGCCAAACGACCAAGAAAAAAGATGAAAAATATGTCACAATGGCATAATTATTCTTATTAAAAACTAAAAACAAAACAAAGAGAGAAGAAAACAAGCGATCAATAACTCATATCAAAATCGATGTCGTCGACGACTAAAAATATTAAATAAAAGAAGTTGATTTGATCTATAAAAAACACACAAGCTCGAAAGAGAAAAAAAAGAGCACCAATGTTATTAAATAATTTAATATCGTTGATTATGTTCTCTTCATATAGGAAAATTCTAGAACGCTCGACTAGCACCGATGAACATCATTAATTTAATTTATAAAAATTTAAAATTTAAAGAGCTCAACATATAATTATAAATTAGTTAAAAGTTTAAAGTTTAAAGGTGAATTATGTAAAATAAAGGGTAAATTATACCAGTGATCACCTAACTATTACCCCTTTTCATTTTGACCACCATTTTTGAAATTTTATCAATCAGGTCACTCAACTATTTAAATGCATTCAATTAAGCCACTTGTCGTTAATATTTAACAGAGAATCTGATGTGGTAGTTAAAATATTTGATATAATTACACATTTGTCATTAATATTTTGGGCGCTTAAATGATACCCAGAGTACCAAGTGACAGTGACCAAATGTTTGATTATACCAAATATTTTAACTGTCACATTAGCTCCTCCGTTAAATATTAACTGCAAGTGGCTTAATTGAATGCATTTAAATAGTTGAGTGACTTAATTGATAAAATTTCAAAAATTGTGGTCAAAATGAAAAAAGATAATAGTTAGGTTGTCATTGGTATAGTTTACCCTTTATTTTAAATAATTTACCTTTAAATTTCTAAATAATTTATAATTATATGTTGGGCACTTTATATTTTAAATTGTCATATATTAAATTAATTGTACTCATTATTAGTGGTACTCATTGATACTTATCGAGCGTGACAGAACTCTTCAAATATTGATTTTTCTTTATAACATGCGTGCTATCCTTACTGAAATAATGATTTTTCCAATAAATGATTACTTTTTTCGCAAGTCCAAAGCAACAAACAATACGGATAGGCTGGCCAACCCTATCCGTTGGATGGGTTGGGCCTTTACTGTTTATTTTACTCAGGGATTGTAATGGAAGTTGTCCAATTTAGGACGAACAAAATTCTACTGGACTCAAAAATTAGCTTATATCTAGTTTTGGAAAATATAAGTTATTTTTTATTTTCTTAAAAAAAATAAAAAAAAAACATTGAAGAAAATGTATTTCGTTGTAAAATTAAAAAATAATTTTTAAAAAATAAAAAAGTAAGTGAAAATATGAAAACATAAAAAAAATATGAACCTTAAATTTTTTTACACTTAGTATGGTCTTTAAATTAAACTTATTTAATAATTTAATTTTATAGTATTTTTAAATTTAATGTATTGAATATCTTAATAATTATTTATATTTATATTTTAAATTTGAATAATTTCTTAAATTTTTCTAAAAAAATAAATAAGTCATCAAACTTTCTAAAAAATCAATTAGGTCCTCGAACTTAGTAAAAAAAAACAATTAAGTCCATCAATCACATCATCGTCAACCGTGTACTGTCACAATGACATCGTGAATCATGACATCAACATTCTAGATTGTCATGTAAGCTTTTGTGAACAATCATGTAAGAGTCGTAATAGTCAACATTTGATTTTTTTTTCTCAGTTTAAAGGTCACTATGAGTGCAAAAAAATTTCGAGGGCTAAACTACTTTTTCCCCAAAAGTTTGAAATCCTTAAATACTTCTAAACATATTTTTTTTTAATAACACTTTTATGTACTATTACTTATAAAAGTTCAACATTATATTCTTATCATAAATAAAAATAAATTTTTATTATAAAATTTATTATCAATTTTAATGTTTTGTATTTGTATAACTTACACGTTAAATTTGTGTAATAATTTTTTAATAATTATGTGTTGTTCTCTATTTTAAAAAATTAGATATCATATATTTTTACTATTTTTATTTTTTTCAAATTTTCATTTATATTAATCAAACATGTTTTTTAATTTTCTAAAAATTGAAAATAAAAATTATTTTCAAAAAATAAAAATAGAAAACAAAAACATAGAATAGTTCCAAACGGACTCTTAGTTATTTTAATTTTGAATTATTTGAGTCAGATCGAATTATCGATTCAGTTTTCAAGTTCGAGTCAAGTTGAAATTTGAAAATTTTGAGTCACTCAAAAAACCAAAAATTTGGTTTAATATTTTGGCAGTTTTGAGATTTAGTCCCCGATTTCCTTATTTATTCAATTCTTCCTTCATTTTAAGTCCATGTTTTTACCAAATTTGAACTACACTCTTCTAAACCATAGTATAATACCCGTGTGCTTTCAATTCCTCTTTTTTATAACACTTTTTTTTTAATTTAGTCTGTCAACTTTTCATGATTTCATTATTTCTTCAATTCATCGTTCATTTTAATTCCATTTTTCACCAAATTTAAACATGCTTATATACCACTATAGAATACCCATGTAACTTTAATTCCTATTTTTTTACTAAAAATATACTCTCTTTTTTAGTCTCTTAACTTTGCATTTTACTAAATTTCATTTTTTGACTGCAATTGTTTGTGAATTCTTTCCTCAATACTTTACCCTCAAAATTCCCTTTTTAAAATATAATATTATAAATATATTTTATAATTTTAGATTGTATTTGATATATTAAATAGAATTATAATGTGAAAAGAATATATATATATGGTTAGAGAAAATTGAAAAATTGGAACTAATCTTTACCATACTATTATTAATAATTATAATAAAATCTATATAGAAACTCAAATAACATGACTCGAATTTCTTAAAGTACTCGGCTCAACTCCAAAAAAATTCAAGTTAAGTTCGAGTCATAAAATAGGACTCGTCAACTCGAATAACTCAAAAATATTTTACTCGACTCTATCGAATGCTCACTCTTAGTCCAAATCACTTTGTTTCATGATTTGTGTCCGAAATTGTATATTGGATACAGATAAAATTAAAAGAAGAAGTGTTAAATATGAAATTTTGATTTAGAAGGACTTAAATGAAAGATTAAATTTTAAGAGGTGTCAAAAATATTTTTCCACTTATCAAAGGACTAAAATGCTTAAAATGTTTTTTTTTTATTTTTGTCCCTGTTTAACTGGTCTACTCCACTTTCTACCTCATTAAACTATTGATGCATAATTTTGAAAAATATGTTCGCCTCTTGAATGTTGGATACGTCTATACCGTCTCCATTAATTATTTATGATATTTTCAAAAAAAATTAAAAGAATAAATACTTATTAGTATATACATAATTTTTAAAATAAGTGAAAATATTTTTTTTATATATAATTCTTTTTTTAAATAGTCGATGATGAGTCTAAGATAATACCTTTCTATAATCTTTATGAACTATTAACAACATACATATATCAAACACAACTACTTAAATTCAAAAACCTCAAAAAAAGACAAAGTAAAAAATATATACATAACTCGTAAAAAAATAAAACAAGTGGAAAATATATACATATTTTCAAATCTATACCTACTCCATGACTATTACTTTAAATATTCACTTAAGATATTAATAAAGGATAAAGAGGTTTTATAAAATGGAAATGGAAGGATGGAGAGTTTATACTTTTAAAAATCTTTATCATTACTTATAACACCTTATTCGACTTTGAGTAACTTAAAAAATTAACAGATGAGCATACCATTAAACCAGTAATTTGCATACTGAATTAAAATAGAGAAAAAAAAAAGAAAAACCTGTAAGAAGTGCAAACATATTCTTTCTATTTACTGAATTGAAAAGCTTTACTCTTCGATTCCTCGGGTACGGTTAGCGTGACCCAAATTGGCAATAAGCATAAATTAAACCAACCTGAACAAATCTTTTCTTTCTCCAGGCCATCTTGACAAAATTTACAATTTAAAGGCCTTGGTACGAATAACAAGAATCTGTCACCAAATACAAAGGCCCTCAGCCTTTGATGCGCCTCAATGCAAGGTAAGCCAACAGCCTATATCCTACGAACATTAGAATCAAGATTCCGACGCTTAGTTCAGGCCGGGTTTGCCCCGCGATGTCTTGATCGATCAACTTGCAGCTAACCGTATTACTTCCGTGGTGTGAGCAGCCCAACAGAGACGATACTTTCTCACCGTCGCCGTATTGGACGTTGATAAATAGCTTAAAGCTGTAATATGTAGTAGAGGCATACTTGATCCATGTCACACATGATGGCATCTTATGCACGTAGTATCCTCCTGTTAGAACAAACGCTAGCATTGTGACCGTAACTATGGTCGAAGCCTGTTTGGAATCCATGATCAATGCCCCTAATGCGAGGCCAAGCCCTTGAGACACGAGCACGTAGCCGAGAAGAACCAGCAATGTCAGTAGAAATGAGACCAAATCGGGTTTCAATCCGGTCATCCAATATGTTACGAGAAGGAAAACCGTGGGGAGAATGAGCTCCATCGGGAGGTCTCCGGTTATCCGTGCCATGTAATACGAAGATAGTGTGTACATACCCGAAGCACGCTCCTTCATGAAGATGGCACGTTCTTGAGGAAACGCAAATACTGCGTTGAACGATGGTAAGACACCCCAAAAGATGGAAATGAAGAAGAGGAGACCGAGGCGGTCTTGGATATCTTGATAATCCGAATGCCACCACATTAAACCGGCCAGCATGGCGGCGGTCATTACTTGGAACACTCTGAGGGTGTTGAAAGATTCTTGCTTTCTCTCTTTAAGGCTTCTTTGAAGCAGAATGGTAAACTGATAGAACCAAGTGGATAGATCAAATCTGTTGCTACTCCGGCCTTCTTCGGAACAATGGCTGCCGACGAAATGTGAGCCTTTCGCCGGAATAGGGGTGGTCTCCATGCATGCGGCTTTAACTTTTGGGGCCAGCAGAGTGTTATAAGAAGCAACGAGGGTTTGCTTCACGTTTGGCCTCTCACTTTCGCTCACACCATCAAGTTTACACACACCTGAATTGGAAAGATACAATATTTTATGTAATGGTTGTAAATTTAATAAATTATATTAAAATTTTAAAAAATATAAAATTATAAAATTTTATAGATGTAGAATTATAAAATTTTAGAGACACAAGATTAGATAACCGAAAAAAATACTTAAATTATATATATATCCGATATTTTCAGAGAATACAATTGTGTATCCCTAAAGAAAATTTACATCCACCAACACTTCTAAACAGTGCAATTACAACCATTAAGACATTAATTATATATAGCTATAAGTCCAAATATTGTTTATACAACACAATTCATACGATTCTCTACAAATTAGCATATATTTCCAAAAATGATTAAAATAAAGCTATACGGTATGTATTACTTTAAACAGGGATGGACCGAGGGGCAGATGGGGGCAGGCGCCTCCTAAAAAATTAAAATTATCATATATTTTAAAAATTTTCGATATATTTTCTATTGAAAATTTATTTCGTTCCCATGAAATTTTAGTTCACCCCCTTAAGTTTAAGTTCGTCTCTCTACATAAAATCATGTGTCCGTCCTGACTTTAAATAATAAAAGTACGGACAAATATATGTCTAGAATTTCATAATATTGTATAAATCTATAGGTAGTGTGAAGAACAGGAACTCTGAAAGTGTAAAAATAAGGTGAAGTGGTATTAGATTTCCTTTACAGCAAAAAAGCAAGAAAGCCACAAACATCAACTATTGTTTAACAAAATAACAACAGTAAAGTTGGGCCAAAAAATTTGAAATTTTTAATATTTTATTAACAGACAACATGAGTAATGGCAAGTTCTTGTAATATTATTGCCCATGGGACAAGTAAAAGAAATACTAGGAAAAGCAGGTCCCCATTATGAAATTAAAGAAACTGAGTTGCTGAGCAAAGCTAAAAGAAATTGAGACTAAAGATGACCAGTGTTGGTGGGTATGGTGGGAGTCCACTCAGGTTTGGTGCCGCCCCTGTCACTATGGTCGGATCATCACTTGCTCTTCTTTTTATATTTATGGATAGATAGACAAATTTAATCTCCACTTTTATGGAAAATTAAAAAAAAAAAGGCACAAGTGTTGGTCTTTAAACATATCCGAATTCCATAGTTGGAACTAAACAAAGAGAGAACAACCGGAATATATATTTCAGACCAGTCTTTTATAATGAGAAGGAAGGTCAAATTTGGATGTAAAGGGGAATAAGACCAAAGATGAATTGGGGGTGGATGGGTAGTCATCTTTTGAAAATTTTAAATTTTGATATAATTTAAATATTTTTTTATATTTTTTATTAATAATATATTTTGGACCCTTAAAATTTTATAAATTTATCTCTCATAAAATTTTATAATTTAATTTTTTTAATATAGAATCTTACGTCCATCCTATGAGAAATTAGGGAACTGATGTATTGATAAGCTATTGTAAGAATTATTGGCTAAGAAAGCACATTCCTACACTAACAAGATGTTTTCTAACGCCATCATTGGCGTCATCAGCCACAATCTTTCTCTTTATTATACTAAAATCTTCATAGAGATGATGATGTCCAAGAGTCCAACTTTAATACCATCTACTCCCATGTAATATTCGTCTTCTTGATTACTGTGGCATAAAAAAGGCTACAAAGATTGAAACGTATCGAAGAGCACTTCATCCACGATTGGCACATAACATTGTGTTTTGTAGGCTATGTGGATTAGTGACGCACCCCCACCATTTATATCATAAAGTTATTTATATGTACATGGACAGATGAAGATCAAATATCAAAATTGAATAAACAAAAGAGTCACAATCCCTCCTATCTCTTTAATGTCTTTGTCCCTACGAGCATTAAAGTCTAAACTTTAGGTTGAAAAGCAAATTTGTTTCATTTAAAGCTAAAGTTTGATTCCAAAGTTGTTAAATACCAAAATGATTCACGTAACCCATCTATCTTTGGTAAGATAAATGTTGGTGAGCAGCCTAAAGATTTAGCTGATGAATGGATGATGGAACTTGTGGTTCATAATCCATGGTATGAGCTAAGCTAAAGGTAGAAACCACAGTGCGTTGGCTATGCAAAATCTTCATCAACAAAAGAAAGGCAGATTTGGAGCGAGGGGTCATTAGAAAAGACAGAAAAAGGAATACGACACTATCCATTTTTATCCATCTTAATATATAGTGTCATGACCTTTAATTGCCAACTAAGTATAATATGTATTGACTCACCACTCATTTGCCAATATTTCGTTTCATATCTTTTCTCCTAGCTAATGAAGAATCTATCTCTACAGTAAGTAGATAGCAACAAGTCATCTTCAAAACGAAACTAGTCACATATTCGAGTTAACTCGGCTAGACTCATGTAAAAGAAAGCAAACAGCTGTAAAATCAGAAGAAGTTGAAGATGAAACCGACGTACCGTTAGCGAGATCAAGGAGGAAATCCGCAGGATTCATAGGAAAAGACGGTGAGAATCCAATCGACTCAAAATAACCCATAGCTTCACTTCCCTTGCCGAAATACAAGCTTCTTCCTTCACTCAACAACAACACTGAGTCGAACAACTGATAAACTCGGCTAGAGGGTTGGTGCATGGATGTGACTATGGTCTTCCCTTTCTGAGTCAACGAACCCAAAATTGAAACCAATCGGTGCGCTGCCGTCGAGTCCAAACCCGACGTGGGTTCATCGAGAATAAGCAGACTAGGGTTTATAAGCATTTCATGAGCTATGCTCACTCTTTTCCGTTCTCCACCCGAAATCCCACGAATAAAACTGTTGCCAATGATTGTATTTTCACATTTCGATAACCCCAACTCCAACAAAACCGTTTCGGCCACCGAAATCTTGTCCTTGGCGGACAACGTTTTGGGTAACCTTAAAAGGGAGCAAAACACCAACGTTTCGCGAACTGTCAAGTGAGGGTACAGGACATCGTCTTGGGTAACAAATCCCGTGCGTTTGGCTATTTGTTTACTGAGTTTTCTGTTGTTGGCAAGCATGGTCCCGGAGAAACTGCCATAGCCGTGCTGGAGCCTCCCGGCTAAGGCATTGAGGAGAGTAGATTTGCCGCTGCCTGAAGGACCAAGGATAGCCAACATTTCTCCCGGTGAAACCATGCCCGTTATGTTATTCAATATCGTTTTCTCTTGATCGGACCCTTGTACCTTCACCTTGTAACACACGTCCATGAACTGCATGAACGAAAATAGACAAGAATATCAGTACCAGAAAAGGTCAATCCATGTTTAAGGCCAAAATGAAAAGATTCCCCCCCCCCTTTTTTTTTACCTTGAGAGTGATAGGATAACATGAAGTCATTAATGAAGGGAGGTGATCACGTGAATCTCGAGAACCATCCCAATTGGGAGCTTCCAGACCACCAAAACCCGGCATTATTACCTTTCAACTTTCCTTCCTTGGATTCTTTTAATTTATCGGGAAAAGAGAAGAGAATTTGCGAGAGTAGAAATGATGGAGCGAGCAAGAACTGAGGGAGAAAAGGGGGAGAGGACATGGGGTATTTATGTAGGTAAAGAGGGGAGTGGATGCCACGTCAAAGGAATGTGTCCCAAAGCTAAAACGGGGTACGTGGCAGAAGACCTGACAGATGGCAGCTTGCCAACGTTGGTTCATGGGAAGTGCGCTATTAAGCAGCGTGGCCTTCAATTTTTTTTTCTCTTCTTTTTATCTCTCTTCCGTAGCCAAGAGAGAAAAGTTCATTGAAACTGAAAAGTTTAGATGAAACTTCAACAATGAATCAATGTTAGCTAGTGGAGACAACAATTATTAGAAGCATTCATGGTGCTTTGGCCGCAGTTCAATATCTTTTTTAAATTTGGTTCAAAATATAATTCAAGTCCTCATATGTTTTGCACATTTCAAATTCAGTTTCAACACTTTTAAATTATTATTAATGCTTCAATCTCCGTCCACGGTTCGTTAAAATTAGTTTGAAGATACATTATTTGTCTTTTCAAAATAATATTTGACACCGTTTAAATTTTTTTGATGGTTTCCCCAAAATCCTTATATCCAATGAAGACCCTAACCCCTAAAAAAATACTATTTGTTTGTTTATTTCTATTAATTTTAAAGATATTATGAAAATTGAAAAATATAAACTAAATGAGATATAGGTATGTAACTATTGTAAAAGAAATAAAAAAGAAAATAACTGTTCTCAACAACAACTGAAATGGGAAAAACACCAAGTTTGGTGAAAAGGATGAAGGGGTTAAGAAAAGGAGACGTATGGTGAAAAAAATATCTTTTTCACTTCCATGTGTGTACACATTTACCATACTATCTAGCAATTAAAACTTTAATGGTCTAATGACTTAAAAATATCAATTCAAATATTTAGTATTATAATTGAAACTTTTTTATAGATATGTGACTAAAACGAGATATCACCTAAAATTTAAACACTAATAGTGTTGTACGTTCACCCTTAAATAAATGTGTAGTGAATGGTTATCTTAATATTACCTCATCGACAAATAAATTGATCATTGATTTTTAGGCAAAATTTTTGAGATAATGTTCTCGAATTTTTTATTTAACGATATAACGTACTCCCAAGATTAATTGCTCAAATAGGGTGAATTGCACAGTGTTGGCCGTAGGTCGCCATGCCTTCCGGGCGACCTATGGCGTGGCAGCTTCCCAGCATAGGTCGCCATGCACTCCGGGCGACCTTGTAGGTCGCCATGCACTCCTCCTGCTCCTCGCGTGATTCCTCTTGCCCTCGGATGCCCTCGCATAGCTCGCTCGAATGGCCTCGGTCAGATGCCCTCGGTCGGATGCCTTCGGATGCCCAACATGTTGGAACGTGCATGACACATGCAATCTCTCTCATAGCTCGCCGGGAAGACATGGCGACCTAGTAGGTTGCCCGGATGGCATGGCGACCTACGACCAACACTGTAGATTTCACCCTATTTGAGCAATTAATCTGAGGAGTGCATTATCTCGTGAATTAATTTATTCAAGAACGTTATCTCGAGAGTTTAGCCTTGATTTTTATGATATCATTATCGTTTGAATATGATTCAACGTTTTAATTTTAAAGAAATATCACCCATTCTTCTTACTTGTAACTGTTAAAAACAACAACAGCCAAGAATACTACTACTAGATTCACAGATTACCAGTTTCTCATTTTCTTGCCTACCAAACAAAAGATAGGGGGTGTATTATAGGCAAGCGAATATCAATGGCTTTGAACTGCTACCCGCCCTTAATTACTAATATGCAAGGCTTAACCCTCCATTAATGCAAAAATATGGATTCAAGTAGGTGAATAGTGACTGTTGTTACCCTTTTTTATTTAATTGAAATAGTGTAATTATAAGTCAAATCAATAATGTAATTATTAGATTTTGAAGAGCAACTTGGAAGAATATTGAATTATCCATTTGAAGGGATTTAAACTCCGATTGTTTGAGACCAGGAAAAAAATAAGTGGTTATCAATCGATAAGAGTTTGATAAAAAAGATTAATGGTCAGTAGACTGAATTTTAGTTTAATATGTGATTTAACAGTGAGTGGTTATTGGTTTATAAGAGTTTGAATTCTTACTATTTGATTTCAATATCAGTAGACGGATGGTAAAGGAAAGAGGCTGAATCGAAAAGACAATATATAAGATTATTGCAATTAAGGATGAATCGAAAAGGAGGATCAATAAAGACGGTCGTTCTTTAAAAATATTAAATTATAACGTAATTTAAATATTTTTTACTTTTCATTAATACCCTAATTTTTCTTTTAAAATATTATAAATAGAGAATTATGTATTTATTCATTTTGTGGTCAAACCGTCGGTAAAATTGGTTGAATAATGCAATGGAAAAAAAATTTCATAGTACAGTCGAACAATTATTTGTTTATGTAGGGTGATTGCTACAGTGACCACCATAGGTCTCCAGGAGCACACGGCAACCTCTATAGGTCTACAAGAGCACACGACGACCTATGGAGCACTTGTCGACCTATGAAGCTGCAATAGCGAAAGAAGAGAGAAGAGTTGCTGCAACAGAGGAGGCTTTATCGCAATGAGCACTTTGCGACCTATGGAGCATTTGGTGACTAATGAGTTCAGTGTAGCAAGAACCCCAATTCAATAAATAATTTGATTAGAGCCTTATATGGGGATTTTTTTTTCCAACGTCCTACACGAACGAGGAAGCCCAAACCGCCAATGGATGCTAGGGTGGAAGATGTGCGCGGGTGGCAATGGGAAGAGGAAAGATTTTTTTTTAAGAGAAAAGACATTATTTTTTTTTATCAAAACCATATTTCGAATCTAGTTAAAATCTTATTCTAAACCTAATAAAAAAGGAAAGAAGGTCCAACAACTATAAATCAAATACCAATTAATGCTTATGAAAATTATTTAAAATTATAAGTTTAATATATTAATTATTACTTATATGTTAAATGTATTTTTTTCTTTAAACTTAGGTAATATAATAATTAAAATAATTTTATAAATTTTTATTCAAATATTTATAATTTAATATTATAATTTTATTTATTAAAAATATATTTCATAAAGATTTTTGATAAAATATGCATTCGAATAAGCAAATCAAACAAAGTAATATAAAGAATAATGTTATATTCTAAGAATTTTATTCATAAAGATAATTTTATATTATGTGAAGTAAATACATTCTGTTAGAATGATTTTGGAACAAATCGATGTGCATTGAATTCATAGAAAAAAGCAAACATTACGTTGGAATTCATATGAAACAGATGTGGGAGTAAACAGGTTAGGTAAATAACGACACGTCTTCAAGTTTAAGCAGCATTAGCATGACGTTAGTTGCTATTAAAAGTAAGTGAAAATAACCTGATGACTAAAAATGCGTTATAATATATGATTTTAACTAATATTTATTAGATTTGTCAAAACGACCAACTAACGATCGATAATTCGCAACGCGATCTCCGGTATCGTAAATCAGTTTCCAGATTCGCAACGCGAACTTCTACTATCGCAACGCGAACTTCGACTATCGCATTGCGATTTACATATTCGCGTTGCGATAGTCGAAGTTCGCGTTGTGATTTTCCAAATTCGTTGCGATAGTCAAAGTTCACGTTACGATTTATTACAAATTCGTTGCGATAGTCCAAGTTCGCGTTGCGATTTATTCCAAATTTATTTCTTAAGAATTTTCTCTAAAAAGATAGTATTCGCGCGGACGTGTCGAAGACACGTATTACCACGACCACGACCACGACGACGAGACAGACGGCGGCGGCGCGCGAGAGTCCTCCTTGTTCTCTATAACTTAACAAGGAAGTGGAAAAGCCAAGTCTTAAATATCATTCCTAATAGTATTTCCAATACTATGTGGGATTAAGTATTACCAACACTTGTTTCCAATACTATGTGATTATTTAAGAAACAATTAACAATCATGCACCTTAAAACAACTGAAGCAGCAACCAATTGCATTAATATTATACGATTAAATATGTCATAATTAAAAGTCAATCTACAATCAATCGCGATTATTGCAATTTTAAGCAAAACATTCAAAAAAAATTGCATCACTCGCGATAATAAAAAAAATTGTTATCGTGCAATTACAATCAATTGAAAATAAATTAGAATTGTATGAAAACTAAACGAACCACAAATACTTTTCATACAAATACTAAAGTCATTAACTATAATTCACAAATAATATCACTATGTAAGGCTCAATCCCACATAGTATTGGGAACAAGTATTGGTAATGCTCAATCCCACATAGCATTGGAAATACTATTGGGAATGATATTTATGGCTTGGCTTTCTCACTTCCTTGTTGAGTGATAGAGAATAAGGGGGTCGCGTCTCGTCTCGTGGTCGTAGTAATATGTGTCTTCGACACGTCCGCACGAATACTATCTTTTTAGAGAAAATTCTTAAGAAACAAATGCAATACCACCAGTCGTTGCGATTTTAGACTATCGCAACGAATTTGGAATAAATCACAACGCGAACTTCGACTATCGCAACGAACTTGGAATAAACGCGAACTTCAATTATCGCAATAAACTTGGAATAAATCGCAACGCGAAGTTGGGAATAAATCGCAACGCGAACTTGGACTATCGCAATGAATTTGAAAAATCGCATTGCGATAGTCGAAGTTCGCGTTACGATAGTCGATGTTTATGTTGTGAATCTGGAAATTGATTTGCGATACCGGAGATCGCGTTACGAATTATCGATCGTATTACGATTTAGTTGGTCATTTTGATAAATTCAAAAAAAATTAGTTAAAATCGTATATTATATGAGAATTTTTTTACTGAAATTATTTTCTTTAAAAGTAAAGCACAAGGAGCGGGAACTGACCTTCTGCTAAGTTGGAAACTCAACTTTTTCTTTGACTGTGACGTAAGGTCCCATCCACCCCCCACGAAGGCGGTGACTCGTGTCGACCACACGGCCAAAGTAGCACGTGA